TAACTACCCTGATTTGAAAGTATTTTGTCTTTTTGTCCTGAACACCAGAATTTAGAGATCTTAAATCTGCTGGATGGATTTTCCAGTGATTTACCACAGAGGCCATTGCATTGCACCTGCAGATCAACCAGGTTAGACCTGGTACTTATAAGTAATTCTAAGAGACAGATAGTTGCAGGACAAAGGTCTATTCCTTTGAATAGTGTAGGGTGCTCTAAGGTCTGCAAAAATTCACACTTGGCTATACTGACTATTACTTATTCTGTGACTTTTTCTATCACATGCTTTAGTGAGAGGGCTCTAATATTGCTCTATTACCTTGGTGTTTTCCTCTGGGAGCAGGTGAAGATGTAAAGGGCACAACAGGCAGCAAAAGTCTTAATTCCTCTTAGCAGTCAAGGGAGATTATGCCCTTAGATCCTTGTTAATAATTTCAGATAGTTTTTCTTTTCTTTTAAGTTATTTTTGGGAAGTTGCTCTACAGGCAAACGGACACAAAGTATGTGCTTCCTGTTTCTAATACCTGAAAAGCAGCTTGTGTGAAGACATTTTCTAGAAATTCCTCCCAAATTCTGAAAGGTAAKAAATGTTTCAGAAAGACAGAATTCTAAAACTTTTTAACATGTCTTTGCATTTTTGTCTCTTGAGTTCTTGATGAAACTCAGTCACAATGAAAATGGAATAACATTGGTGATAATTAAAAAAAAGAAGAAACTAATAAATTTACTTGTTGTCCGCTAAAGGGGAGGTTAGAAAAGACTGGAAATAAGGAGGGAAAAAGTACCCACCAAGTTAGGTTTGTACTCTGATAGAAGCTTTGAAATTCAAATTATTCTGTGTAATCTGRAATGTAGATGAAGAATGTAATTCTGTGGTGTAAACTTATTTTAAATGAATGAGATTGCMAGGTCTCATTACCGTGACAAAATTTTATGTGGACAAGCTTACGTGTTGATCTCATACACTTATTGGATTTCATGGACAAGGTATCATTCAGATTTCAAAGGGAGGAAAAGAAACTCAACTGTCAAGGTCTATAAAGATAAGAAATGTCAGGTGAGTTCTACTTGTCCGCTCTTCCCTGCAATGCTGCTCTCCCTTCACATTCTTTCTAAAGTTTGTCTTTTGTTCTGTGCCGGTGTCATTGGGGAAAGGTTGCCCAAAGGATGTGAGAGCTGGGCCTTGGATCTTCATGTCAAGGATGAGAACTTCTGTGACCTGTGCGTACTGCTTGTGGAGAAGTTGCTTCCATGAGTTGGTTGTTGGGGAACATGTAAATGAGCAGGTGCTTTCAGCCCTCACCTGAATTGGCAGWTCTCTGTTTCTGAGAGCAGTCACCATTGCTGACTCTTATTAATTGCAGAATCCCCCAGGAGAGCCCTACATGGGCAAAGAGAATAAATTGAGTCCTCACTTGCTGAAGCGGTCCCTGAAGTTCAACATTAAAAAGTGTATGGGGAGACATCATAGGAGAGATTTTGCTGCTCCTGTCTATAATAAGGTTAAAAGGTAACTTTATCACATTCTCAAAGTGTCTCCAAAGGGAATAACTCGTACATAGTACAGAGATGTGAAAGGGCTCATTAATTTTAGACAAAGTTGTAACAAGAAACAGTAGCTAGAAATTGAAACTAGATGAATTAAACAGATGAATTAAAAGACCCYATTTAGAGTCTTTTTAAATTCTGAATTATTTATTTTCTTAAAGCAGAGGTAAATAACAACTTGGGCTGACTRCTTAGAAGAAATGGAAAGTTTTCCAACACTTGAAATTTTTAAATGACAAGGAAATTTCTTTAAGATAGAGCATTTTTAACCACTCTAGAAGTCACCAAAAAAGTTAGAGGAATTCGTGGTTGAAGTGTTGCCATTAATATTACTGCAAATTTGAGGCTGCAGATCTGTTTGATCTTATATAGTTATGTATAATATACTTTTTCAAGTTGATTTTGTTGGATGGTTGAGCTTTTATGAAACCTTTCTTGCACAATTCTGCATGCAGGACTTTAAAAGTTCTTTCAGGCTATTTCTGTGATGCTTTTAAGCTCAAATTTAAGCTCAAATTTTGTGTCACGAACCACCATATTCCTATCACCCCTGAACGAAATATGGAATATGGAAGAACAAGCAAAGGCTGTTGCAGCTCCGATGGACATTTATCCTTAAGCCCCTCTCTGAGGCTTCCTGGACTCCTTTCTAAGAAAGAGCAATGTTCTTCAGATCCACATCTTTGCGGGAAGGAAGAACTCAGCTCTCTGGGGCTTTCTTTAGCCTTTCCTTACTTGCTTTGTAAGACTTTCCTTGCATTGCCCTTTCCTTGTAAATATAAAAGATATTTCAATGACCTTTTCCTTTCTTGGGCCTCAGTCCCCAAAAGATCTGAACAATCTCCTTCCACACTAYGATCACTTATCCTCACTTGTTATCATGCCTCAGGGAAAAGTTCTTCGTTGCTGCAGGCAGAGCAACAAGCTTGCTAGTGCAGGAGAAAGGAGATGAGAGAAAACAAGATCTATTTAGCACCCATATCAGGAATCAGCACTCATTTTCATAATGAATTTGCCTGTGTTCATCATCTTTGTAGCTTTTCATTACAGGAGGATGACAGATGAAATTTCTCAGTCTGCCATTTCCGTGATGGCCCCAGAAGTAGATTGCTCAAGGAAAGATCTCTTTAATCACAGCTGTGAAGCATCAGGTTGAGGGTGGGACTAGGGCTTGTTTCTGGCAAGATAAGGAAGGGGAGAGATTTAAAGGAAGGCTTTCTATGCCTACCACTTGTCAGCTTAGCACTAATATATGTGCTCCTGAACTCCTCTTAGCTCACTTGTCTGCTGATTTATTTGTGTAAGTGGTACTTTACAAAGAAGGGCTACTGTCCTCCTTTCCTCCTGAAATGTGGCTGTCTCAGGGATGGAGCATGGCAGGTATTTAGCACCAACTGGATGATGTGATGTTATAGAAGCTGAAAATAGAAGGAAAATCATTCCATCGGGCTGAAGTGCAGGGGCAAGCTAAGACAGTGGAAACACTATGATACCATTTGCAAAGTCTATCCAATGAGAAGATACAGATAGAATCCTAATATGGTCCAAAAGATTTTATATGTATTTTTAGCTTTGAGAAGTATAAATCTGGATTTTTTAGCTGCACATTTCAAGATTTTGTTTCAAGATTTCTCGATTTACAGAAAAGAATATTTAGTTTAGGAAAGAGTGGGAAGCTGCATGTGACTGTCAGTATGAATCATCAATATGAAGGAGTATGAAGGGAAAAGCAGAAGTGCAGTTGATTTCCCCTTGCTGAATGGGGTTTATGTGCTGGTAGTGTAAGAACTAAAGAGAAAGTTTTTAAAAAGTAATGTTTATGTGCAGAAAGAAACTTGTAGCAATGGCTTGCAYGCATGGGGTGATTTGACTTGAGATGAAGAAGCAGCGAGACTGTTTTGCATACTTCAGTTTTTCCTGTCGTAGCAGGCATAAGCATCAGAGGAGGTCTTCTGTAAATGGTAGGCAGTGAAATGATGCTTACTTTGTTTTGCTTTGAACAGTACAATGAGATCAGCAGAGGTGTCTCCCCCTCCTCCCCTCTTCATAGGGAGCAAACCTTCTTTTAAAAGAATTGGAATGCATTGTGAATTAAAGAAGGTCACCTGGGTCTCAAATCTATTTTCTTCATTAGTAGCAAATCACTATCTGGTGCTTGCGCCTTCCAGTATCAATGCTGGAGCATTTAGCCAGTCAGAAGGGCTCACAGATGCCAGAAGAAAAAGCCAGCGATGCATATAATATATTATTGGGATCATAAATAGCTGAGACAAGGGCTGGTTATTGCTTAGTTCAATATTGTTGTTTAATAGCAACTCTAAATACACTCTGCTGTGTTAAATATTGTACTATTAACTCTAGAGATAATGATCTTCCCAGATTGAATGAGGGGCAGCCATATAATGGTGTGATGCATTTCTTCCAGCTCCCCACGTGTGAGCAGGGTAATTGAGGGGACTAGCAATTTTGTAAGCTATCCTAGGGGTCAAATTCTCCCATTGTGTGTGCTCCCCCTTTTCAGAGAGATCAAAAAGACTTGCTCTATGAATATAAAGGCATAAAGGCATTTGTATATTTGTAAAGTACCCACGAACCCAATGTCTCAGGTTGTGGATATTATCAGTTTCTAACTAATTRTATCTATTCCAGAATACTGCATGGTAGTTTCAAAGATATCAGTTTGTTCAGGCTTCTCTCTCATCCTTTTTTATAAGTAACTGTTTGAACTAAGAAATGAGTTGTCTTCATGTTGATTTTTTTTCTATTTTCTCTCTCTCGTCTGAACTATGAAGAGGGGAAAAAAAAAAAAAAGGTCTCAAAGAAGAAAAGAGCCTTGTTTCTAAAAGGGCAATGATGTCCCTAGAAAATGCCCTACCCTTAAAGCCAGCTGAATAGTTCAATGAGACTATAGAACACATATACAGTTGGAAGGGAATATCTTTGTGATATTTTAGGAATAACTTTTTAGTTAACCAAACAAAAGAGGAATCTGGAGGAAGAAAGAAATGCTCACAGTTTACCTTTGCCTGCAACAGCCTATTCATTTTACCTGAATCGTACATTAGTTACTAGAGTGTCCCTCCTTTTCTTTTATGTTCTCCTTTGCTGCTTTGTTCTGTGCTATACAAAAACAGATCATTAAAAAGATTTGAAGTTATGGGGAAGAATTTATGTATGTACATGTATATATGTCTTTGTGTATGTACATGCGTATATAAAGTTCTCAGTGACAAAGCCAACATGTTCTATATACTTTTCAGCTCCCTTCACAGTTTTATAATCTTAGCCCTCATTATGTTTTTGCCTTAAATTCAGAGCTTTAAGGTAGCAAATTGATGCTATCTAAATCCACAGAGGCTGTCAGAACCTTTGTGCCAGTCGGATACCCCTGGCATCAGTGCTCAGGAGACTCTTTCATCTCCATTCTGCTCTCTTTACTCCAGATTTGTATGATGGACATTCAAGATTTGCAAACGGGGGTCCCATAACACCAGGTGCCACACAAGCATCAGCCAGAAGATTGTACAGGTATGTTATTTGAACCATTCTCAAACTTCTTGCTCAAAACTATGAGGTTTGTGAATCTCTCCACATTGCAATTAGAAGAAATTAACCCTAGCTACTCTAGTGCTTTTCTAACTGTAGTAAATCAGGAGTTGTTTAACAAGGACTGTATAGCACTTGTTTAAAGGTTAATTTATACTAATCTATCTGTAAAATGACCTCTGCCCCCTTACTGGGGACATTCTGCATGGACATTATTCCTGTTTTTTTTTCCTCCCCTCTCAGTCCTTTCAAGTTTACCTTCAAGGGAGGTTGCATCTTGGGCCTCCTTTGTAGGGATGAGGATTTGCATCTGATTTACTTGCCTGAATCTTTTAAATTCATCATAGGAATCTTGCCCCTAAATGCATTGTGATTTTTTTGAGTTATAGTTTTAATGTCAGTGTAAAATAAAGGAGATATCCTCACATTTCAGTGGGAAACTTTGYAGATACTCTGATTTGTCTGCCTGTTGCTGTCTGTAAAACTACTTGCAAGGTAACAGGTATATATACTCTGGTGTGTTGTGTACATAAATCTTCACATAATCATAAGCTATAGAATGATATGTGATACAATAGTAAAGATAAGTAAAGTATAAGGTTGTTGGTATGTGAATGGGAAGATTTAGATTTCTGGTTGAAATGACTTTTTTCTTCACCGTCTTTGCAAAGACTCATGAATTTTTACTGAGATCCCATTGTTCCTATAATATCTTTTTTTTTTCTTTTTTTTTCTCCATTGGGTAATTTTTAGATTTGCATTGGTTCCCAGTCTGAGATATGTCTATTGCTCAGGAATTTCAGTTTATTGTGTTGAATTGAAACACAAGAAAAAAATATTACATTGTTGCTTGATTACAAAATTTTTGATTAAAAAAAAAAAAGGAACTAATCATATCCTTCAAGGTTATGTTAATTTGCACTAATTTAAGATCTAGTTGTCTTTATCTTCTTTGCTAAAATTATTTATTTATTTTCTCAAATCAAAATCTATCCTATATTCCCAAATAACAAAAGAGGCTATAGTGCCATAAGGCACAGACTGGTCCATGGAGATATACTCAAAACCACTTTAATGAGTTACTCTTCTTAACAACAACAAAAAACTTTATTAAAATTATAACTACGATTTAGCATACTATACAAGATTAATCATGAAAAAAAATAGGCCATCATCCTGACATATAAGCTACATACAGAAAGAAGAAACAGAGACAAAGCTCTACAGGTTGGGAACTCAGCACTGGAAATTACAAAGGAAGAATTGGAAATGGGTGAGGAAATAGTTACGCAGAAAATGATTGTGAGTCTTCATCTTGCAGCCCCCTGGGAAAAACAAGTAAGATCTTTCAGTGTATCATGAAAATAATATCCATCAGAGACACAGAAATCTGGATTCCATAGTGCAAAGCAATGATACAAGGGAAGACATAGTGTAAAGCAGTAGGGAGACTTTATGTGGGATACTGGGCTGAGTTCTGGTCGTTCGTGGAGCAGAGCCAAGAGGGCTGGAAAAGGAGCAGACAAGGTCTAACGGGAGGATGAGTGAGAGAAGATCAATGCAAGTTGTTTGGRCAACCACAGCAGAGGCTGAGCAATGGCTCCATGCCTGGGAGGACGTAACTTGACTAGTATAAAAGTCACATGAATTTGAGATTGGGTTGTGGACCGCTTTCCTGKTGCGGTGGGGAAGCTGTGATCTGGCTTTAGTGATTGTCCCACCTGGATGGTTAGTGTGCTGCAAGCACAGCATGCAGCTGTAGACAGTGTAGATGCAGATGGTGAAAGCTGCTGCACTGAATATGTGGTGCTAGGCTAGCTCAGGCTAATGAAGGATCTGGTCCCATAAGACACATTAGCAAACACTGCTTTCCTCTGTGATAAATGTGATTAACTTTCATCCTTGGGTATTAATCATTCTAAACTTCTAACTTTAAAACATTCTAATGTTCTAAACTTCTCTTGCCTCCAATGTTGTGACTTTCAAACTACATATTGGGCCCAAGTGTCATAATTCTGATAATTACCAGCCTGCACTGAAAAATTAAATACCACATTTGAATGGTTATATTCTTGGAGAAAAAATGATTTTGTATTTAACTGTGCTTTTGAACGTCATGAGTCAGCTCTGTCTTATGCTACCTGGCATCTTCCAAGGTGTCACACTGCTATGTCAAAGGTTTCAAACAGGCACAGATAATTTCAATTGAAGTCACCTCAACTGCTAAAAATTAATTAAACGGAACAATCAAATTAGTCACAGCTTGATGATTATCAGCCTCTTGGGATAATTAAGATATAAGAATTATAAAAAAGTTTCCACCTACTGCACAGGCAAAATCTAYTCTGAGATGTTACCTGCACTTTTACTGGAGCAATCTTTTCCAGCTTAGTAGTATAAAATTTGTTGAAGAGAACAGCAAAATATGGAAATTCATTGCACAAAAAAATGAAACAAAGAATATCAGGCTCAGCATCTGTACTAGAAAGAGTATAATAAGCTTATTGCATAGGGCTCAGCAATGAAAAGCTGTAAGAAAAAAAAAAAGTGGGGTGATCCATGTCACACAGAAGACTTGCAAGATAATTACAATTTCCCTTTGGCTCTGTGAAGGCTTCAGTTTATAGAATAACATTGTAGTGCTGTTCGTAATAGACCTCTGGAGGTGGTGTCATGTTCTCTGTACCAGGTATTAAGAATCGTGGAACAGGAACAAGCTCTGGAGAACTGCTTGACGAGTGTAGTAAAAATGAAGCCTGATAGAAGGTTGAAAATTGGGATGGTTTTGTCTAGGAAAGAAGAGATTGAAAGGGAGGTATTCAAAAATAAACAAACAAAATACACAAAAAAAACCCCACAACCTTGTGCGTGCACATGAGTTTTTGTATATTTGTATATTTGATCCCTGCCTTATTCACTTGGGACGCTTGTGCCRTAACTCCTATGCCAAGCAGCGCTTACAGATTCCTAATGCCATTCTGCTAGTGCCAGATCTGCGGTGTCTGTTTATTACAACACTGTGGCGCACAGCACCCAGAAGATGGGGTCTGACCGCATACAGATGAGGTTTTCTCCCATTTTTCAGCAAACATCAGAAGGCAGAGCGTGCGTCATTCCTCGCACAGGCGCTCGCAGAGTGGCTGATTCAGATTCATCCCCGCGCCTCAGGGCATATGGAGCGGGATGGGAGGGCTACGGCAGCACCTTGCTGAGCGGCTCTGGAGCAACATGACTGGGCTTCCAGAGCAACTGGCAACTGCTGACTAATTCTGAAGGAGACCTAATGGTTTTTTTTTTTTCGGAAGGAGCCTGGCGGATGATGGATTGGAGGATGGACCTACCAGCTGTTCCTGATTCATCTTCTGCTGAAGCTAAAGAATTAGAATGAGCAACCAGGCAAAAGCTTCATCCAGCCGTCTGTGGATCATGTCACCAAGCCAGACGGCAGTAATTTAACTTACCTCTCTCATAAGACCAGTATATACTGGCAGTAATTTATTGCTTCTTCATTACTAAGGATTTACGGGATGCTTCGTTGTTCTTGGAGGGAAAGGCAATATTTCCTGCTTTGTAAATTTGACCTTTCCTATCTGTGTATTTTTTAGCCAGCTATTTCTTTCTTATATGAGATAAATGTGTTGACCAGTACACGGAGGAAAATGTCCCAGCTGGAATTAATAAGGAAGCCTGATCTGCATAGTGAGGTTTATTTAGCTGTGTTACTATCTAAATCTTTATATAAAATACTTTCATAGGGCTGTAGTGTAAAACCAAATGGTTTTATAAAATCACTGGATTATATTTAGGGAGGGGAAAATGAAACAAAACCAAAAATAACAAGCAATGAATTGTAGCAAAAAATAGACCAGATCTTTAATGAACTTAAATTAGCGATGCTTGCTTAGAGATAATGACACATCTGCGGAAGTCCTGGCCAGAACCACTTCTGCCAGGGACCTGAGCTGCTCAGCAGGGACCCTGAGATGACATCCAGCATATACAGGATACCAGTCTGTTTTCAAGTGATGGGAACACTTCTCRCTTTGCAAAAGTACAAATTTGCTCTAGGTTAGCTCTAATTAGCCTCCTGTCAGCTGCAACTGAATGATGGGGGGTCGAGAGGGAGAGTAAGACTCTTTTTAGTTTTTAAGAAGTCTGTCATTTAGTTTCAGAACAGCTGTGCATTTCTGATTGACAGAGGCATCTATTCCAGTTATATTTTATCAGTCTAAGAAATTCATGATGGCTTTTCCCAAATCAATAGTAGTAGTGAATCTCATCACAGAGGAAGCAGGAGGTAAACCATCTTTGATGTTCATAACCTATTAAGGTTAGGTCTGCTATGAGCATTTTGGGTATCTGAGTTGGATGAAAATACAAACCCCCATCTGATGAAACATTTAAAGATACTGTTTTTTTTTTTTTTTTTCTCCAGAACAAGTTCTTAGAAAACTGTGCTCTGAGTATTTGTCAGCAATTCTTAATCTAGTGCATAGATTTGTTACAGTGGCTGCATAAGGAGCTATCTTCTGTTCATAATTCTAACTGTTCATTCTGTTCATTATTCTAACTAAAAATTTATCTATAAATTAATAGTAATGATTATTTTACTAGTATCTTTCACAGTGTAGGAAGAGTGGTTTACTGATGGCATAAAACTGGGGAAATCTGCAGATGCCACAGGCACTGTGGAGAATTCAGAATGATCTTCATAAATTAGAGGATGTGTTTGAAAGAAAGTCTGCAATTGAAATAGTAAATGTATGCAACTGAAATAGTGAATGCGAAGTATCGCATAGAAGTTAAGAATAACCTTGCTCAATTCAAGAAAAATGAGGGAAAACTGAAGCTAGGCTAATGGATCTCCATAAAAATGATCCCAGCACTAAAAAAAGATCTATGGATTATGGAAACTTTTCTGGAGATTTTAGAGAAAAGATTAGAAAAAGTGTTAGAACTAACAGGCCAAATGACCTCTCAAAGTCCTGTCTTACTGTACTCTTTCTGAATCAAAGAATGTCTAATGATTATTTTAAGGTAATTAGAGTTGAAAAATTTTTTTTTATTGTATGTGAATTTAGAGCCAAAATTTTGATACTTTCTATAAATGAAAATTAGTTAACAATTTTAAAATCATTTTTGAACAGAAAACACATAAAAAACCACAGAACACTTCAGGAAGTACCTTTTACATTGGTAGAGTTTCACAACTTATCTGGCACCCAAGCTTTAGGAATGAGAATGTCAAACTGCATTCACTTTGCTTCATGTTATTTTTATCACAACAAGAGTATAAAGAGAAATCATGATTCTGCAGTGCAACTGCAGAGGTATTAAACAACATTTGAATGAAGCCTTAAGGAAAGCRTTGGGGTGAGGAAGGAGTCTAGAGAGGATGAGCCATGTCTCTTGGGCAGGTAGCTGAGCTATGCACAAAATCATGTCCAGTGACCTGTCCCTCTCCTCTCTCTGCTGGACATGTCCAAAGCATTTAGAGCATGACCTGCAGGTGAAGCTACTGCGGTAGGGATGGTTATTTGCCACCCCCAAAGCTACCTCAAACATTAGCCACAGTTTCCTCTTTTGGGGATTTCTAATGTCATACTAAGTGCTTAGAGAAATGGTGATGACAGAAATTAATTTCTTGGATCCAAGCCCTTTGCTTGGACTTCCTTTTTTAATGACTTTTTTTGCTGTCCATAGCTGGTCTTTTGAGGCCAGGCATGGTGATAAGAATTGAGACAATTTTGTGCGTGTTGATGAGGGAATCACCTCCCTCATTTTAGCAGCATCTGTTTTTCAAACGAGATATTGAAAAGAGATGTACTCTTTTCCTGCAGCACTGAGATCAATTATTTTTTTAAAAAAAATCCATATTCTTGGGCTTTAAAGACCATAGATAGTGAGGATTCCAGAAATTAGATTRAAGTAGTTAAGTGTTGCAAATTTCCCCTCTTGAGAGACTGTGGCTTGATACTACTGCTTAAAGGTTTTTTTGGCATATGGATTGCATTTCCTAGTGGGATTTGTGCTGTGAATAAATAAATGTCTATAATCAATTGCTGATACTTCCGCAGTCTTCATATCTCACCTTTCAGCTAAATGGACAGATATATAAAAATGTATGTCCAGTTAAAAACTAGCAAGGCATCAAATTGTGAGGACAACCCACACCTAGCAAAAAATCCACCTTTTTTCACTCTGCTTTGTACAGTATGGATTTTGTGGATTTTGTTAGTGCTTTGGCCTATTTAATGTTCACTAGATGTCAATCAAATGTGGATCTCATTTGCCAGTGGGCGTACTCTGGAAATCAAAGGTAGCATCTTGGAACATCTTACATTTGAAAAGTGATATCCCCTCAGCTTTCCAAAGCTGCACAGTTTCCATTTAAGCTGGCACTTTTACAAATCCAAACAACTCTTGTTTCAAATAGAAACTGAATTAAGGGATGCCGCCTTGGAGGGAAGGAAGCTTGAGGGAAGAAGCTCCCCAGGGCAGGCAATGAAAGGTCTATAGGTATTATATTTATACTCTTTTTTTTTATAAATTGATAGGTATTTTTTCATATTTTTTTTTTTTTTGTTTTTTTTTTGTTATGTCTGTTTTTTTTTTTTTTTTTGTGTGTGTGTGTGTGTGTGTGTGTTTTTGTGTGTGTTTTTTTTTTTTTTTTTTAACTTCATAGTTGGGGGGTATGTGTATTTCATTGTTTTCCCTGACCTTTGGAAGGCCTTGATACTTCACATTACTTATATATTAAGGAACTGAAATTCTAGTCACTTATTTGGTGCTAAAGTGGAAACCAAGCTTTTCTGAAAATATAGTTTTCAGAGTAGTGTCTGGTGTCAGCAGCAGGGCTGAGGAACCTCTGCCAGTCCAGTTCTGAGTCTTAATCTCTTCTGACAGAAATAGGACTGACTGGGAGGAATATTTCCCCAGTCCGCACATTGCATGCATTTAATGATGCACAACATTACAATGGCACCGTTGTTCTTCCTTAATTAACTCTTCTCCTGCTCTTTGAATCTTGCTGTAGTGATGCCGTTGCTCCTGTCAACTTGTGGAGTTCTGTGCCTGGCAATGGGTGAATCTTCTGTGAGCTCATTAGTGCTTCCTTGTGCTTCCTAGTGCTAGTGCTTCCTAGTGCTTTGAACATCTTGGTGTTGAACTGACAGCTGTTACATGATCTGATCTATTTTCTTGACAAATTGGGAGTAAAATAAGTAAATAACACTCAACTATGTACACATGCTTGATAATCTGACATTTTCTATAGAAATTTTTATGCTTCCACTTTTTGACTTGTGTTCTACTCTCTTCCCAGTCCTCCAAAATATTAACCAAGAAAAGGAGCTTTATAAAAACACTTTTCTAGATGCATCTCCAGTTCAGAGAAGTGATTCTAATTTTAATCTACTCTCTTCAGAAAATGAAGCACTCACTTTCAGCTGTGCCAGATTCAGCCAGATTGCCATAGGTGGTGGTAAAAAGTTTCAAGTGTGCTAGTTAAAAGTAAAATACACTAAGAAAGGTGATGCTGATATGCTGTGTTGCCAACTCAGAATCCAGCAGAAAGGTTGGGAACCAGTCTGGTTCTGACAAACGGTCCATTGTTATTTCTGATGAGAGTAGGATCCAGATGGAAAATAAAGAATCCTTCCCTTCATTGGAGGAAGATGTAATAGCACAAAGATGTGATACTTATTTCTATTCTGTCTTTACTTTGCTGAGTTTAGGTTGCTTTCATTTTCACAAATGGCTTATTACATTAGTTGAAGTCAGGTAATATGCCATCTGATGTGAACATATTGTGGCCAGAACACACACACACACATAAATAAAATGAGTGCAAGAAATCTGATTTTCACATGGCATGTGAGGCATCTTAAAAGATTGGAAACTGTCACTTGTCGCTACTCTGTTGTGTTGACTTTGGAGCTAACTAGCAGAGCTCAAGATCCTCCCTCTGGTGAAATCAAAGTTGTATTACAGATTCCTAGGATAAACTTTTATAGGGGAAAGAGTGGGAGAGGGACTTCTGCAGAGAGATTGTGGTTAGGACTGAAGAAGCTTGAGCAAGTAGAGAAATATCTCCATTCTCAGTCTGAAAAACCAACAGGAGTTGCTCATTTCTATTTGCATCACTTCTGTTAACACAACCTTTTATAATGCTTTTCTCTCACTGTCTGTTTAAAAAAAAATCAAAGCTTTTGTCTACTCTCTGTCTTTTGTCTAGTCTCTGTCTGGTCCTCACCTCCATTTAGGTACCCTGGTCACCTGGAACAGGGCTAGCTCTCATAGCACTATCGCAAGTGTCTACATTTTGAAGTTTGTTCAGTGCTCAGCTGGAGCGGAGACATTGGCAGCAATTTTAATTGTGCAAAATGAGAGTTTCTGGAAGATGGGAGCTTTTGTACCTTAGACCTAGTGTAATGTATGCTGTGCAAAAAATATATTCTTTCCTAAGTGCTAGTTGCCTGGAAATGATCAGCCTTTTTCTCGTTTACATAATCCCTTTGCCTGAAAGGTGGGAATGAAGCAGCTTGGCAAAAGAAGATGAATGTGTCATACAAAAGACAGACAAATTAGGGAATCTTGTTACTATGGAGTGGGATAGAAACTTCATCCATCTCATATCTACATATGAAGATCTTTCATCACGGCTAGGAAGCTGATGAAAGGTGCTGCCAGATAAGTAGAAGGGGTCTGGAAGTCAAAGTTCAAGTGCCTGAGACAAACCCTGACCTACGGTATCCCCTGTTGTGGCAAGAGCTCACCTTTCCCTCCCCTAATGGGGAGCCCTGGAGCTGGTGCATCTTTGTGTAGCTAGTGTTGTCTGCAAGCTAATTTTTAGTCTACATATTTTGAGTGAGGTATGATTATGAGTTCATTTTGGCACATCTTGCTGTCATGCCTATTCGAATCCAGCATGCTTTGGCAATCATACCTTAGCTATCTCTGCCAAAGAGGTCGTGAAAGGAGACATGAGTCACAGAAAGCCAGCAGAGGAGCAGCAAGTGCCAGGGAAAAGTGAAAGAAATATCCAGAGAAACCATAACATGAATGAGCTTTTGATGGCAGTACTTTTTGTTCAGCAATCAGTATGGCAAGTACTGCCCAATTGGCATGGACAGGGAAGAAGTACCTCCATGGGTGAGCTTCAAAAATAAAACCTCTTGTAAAGTCACATTCCATTCCCCCACGTCTCTTCATCCATTGCACCTCCAGATATTGCTCCCACATGCTGATAATTCTTTTTTTCTTT